TCGCAACTCTACAGCTCATATAAGACGCATAACGTTACTACCTTGACGTACCTCATCCGTATGACCCCAGATGGTGTAGTAGTAGTAGTAGTAGTATTAATTTTATTATTTGACTAGGGGAGTCCCAACAGGCATGGCCTTGTTACAGGGAACCCTAGGTGAATCTTTGTGAATCTTTGTGCGGCGCTTACCTCCAAGTCATTTACGGGATCCACCACCAGTGACCACGAGCTCACAATCAGAAGCCACTACTTCGATCTTCTGCTGGTAGCCGGCTATAGGACTTTGATTATGGCAGACCAATGATTTGACGTCCGGGATCTCTTGATGCCACATGGCGTAAAGTTGAACATTCCCCCGTTCAAGCGATCAAGCAACAGATGGCCTTAGAAGATGTCCAGAAAACGCAACAAATTGCCACGTTACGAATTCATGTTGAGTGTCTGATGGAGCGAATCAGGGAGTTCTCTATCTTTTCAAAGATCGTTCCAACAATTCTTTTCCCTATCATCATTCAGATATGGATTGTTCGCTGCCTGCTCACAGTATTCTAGGCTCCTTTACTTGCTGAAGCAAATATGTTTTCCATGCCAACTGTTGCTAGCATTGCATGGCGAATTGATCTTCAGCAACACGAATTTTGTCATGCCTGAACAATCATGCACAATACGGAGCAGCTAATGACTTAGTGGGTATAAATGTGGATAGTATGATATAATTTAGATTGCAATATTTGCAAAAGTGCAATGAACAATAATACCACTCTTGATGAATATTGGTGATGGCGGTTTATCAATTTCCATGGTCACAACAGACCTACAAGGGCGAATATAAAAGTATCTTTGCAACCATACAATAGGTCCTTGGGTGGAGCAGAGCTGGACCCAGTTTCAGAAAAACTAGGACGAAATGTAGCTGCTAGAGGGACGATTATGCTCATTGCGTCGCTATGGGCTTCCACGAGCTCAGCGTCAACAATGCTCTGAATGGCAGCGGTTTTCCGCTTTCCTTGCCGATGCCTGCCGCCAAATATATCTGGAGTGCACAGTATTGGATGGATGTGATAGAACCAGGCCCTGAACAGATGGAGAAAGTTAGAATGTAAAACATGTATCGATAAAATGTACTTTTTCTTGTGCGAAATGTTGAAGACTGCATCCTGAAGTGGTACTTACCGATCGAGCAAATCACCCCGTTTCCTGGACACTCCGGCTCCTCTAGCTGGCAGGTAAGTCTTCAACTGGTTGATTGTCCATTTTTAAAAGGATTCGTTGTCCAAAGGCATCAAAAACCGAGCTTTGGGATCGCTAATTCAACTTGATTCTCCCTCGCAGGACTACTATCAACATTCCCTTCATCGCAACGTACCGCCACAAGAGATGAAGTGCTCGGCTCATTGACCGCTTCATCAGCCATGTATCAAACATATCACAAAGGTCCAGCAAGAAGTAAATGCAAAAAAACCTTACATATCGGACAGAAATGAAGAAGCGAGAAGAAAACAGAATCCTTCGCTGTCAGTTTTTTTTCCGATCCAGGAGAGTCTCGTTTTTTTCTGGCCGCCTGGGTGAGTACACGCCAAACGCGGTGATTGATCGTTGCGGTTCCAGAACAAGAGCTCGCGCTGGGAGGAATGCACTGCATGTATGGCGTGCCTGGGTCACACATTCAGTACGCATGCCATGCCCCGCCAAGTCACTGCGTGTCTTATTTGGCAAAAGACCTAATACGACCATGGCCAACGTCCCCATCTGCATCCACAGCTAGGAACATCGTGCTACTGGTGCGTTCGGGTCCCGTCATTCGCGATTTAGGTGGATCTGTTCGCATTTGGGGGGGAAATGCTCCAGTTCTAATTTCTTACTTTTACGACGGGGCAACACCAGTAAAGGTTTTTCAGAACCGCTCACAGAGCGATTTTTATATGGATAATTTCAGTTCTTTTTCCGTTCCCTCCCCACCCCAACCCCGAAGGTGAACATGATGAGCACGCGCGCGATGTACTGTATGTAGCCATGAGACTGCAATAATACACTGATACATACCAGCCCTCCCCATCTCGCTACCCCGCACACAGATACACAAACACGCGGGCGCACACGGCACACGCATGTGGCCACGCACACATACGCACATGCACACGACACAAACAGGAAATTCTTCATGTACAATGCCATGCAAAGCAGTGGCCACCGTACTTCAGGAAGTCAGATGTGAAACAAAAAATTCAACTACAGTCAACTTCGATAATAACGACTGCGGATATAACGACAATTCGCGAATAACGACAGAATTTCCATGCCCAGAGCAAAGTCCCATCCAACTGTAATACAATCATATAATGGGACTTCGGGTATAACGACACTTCGCGAATAAGGACACTTTTCTGATGCCCCGCCGAGTGTCGTTATACGTGAAGTTGACTGTACAATGTGTAGACAAGCTGACGGCCAAAGCACAACATAGCAAGCAAACATGACATTTGCTCAAGGATTGCAGTTTGCAGACCACGCCATGGAAGCAGCGAATACAGAATGCAATATCATACAAAGTGACAAGCAAGGAAGTGGCCACCATACACCAGAAACTTGCAGAAAGTCACATATCCAACAGATAGAGAAGTGAACAGCAATCTGGTACAGTCCACACAAAAACAAGTTGACCTGATACTCGTCCCAGGATCGTAAGTGGCAGATCCTTTTCAATGCATAACATGCAGGTGTACGTTACACGCATGGACCAAATCTGACCGTGTCGCCAGCACACAATGTCATCACAAGTATACCCCACAACTTTCACACATGCACAGTAGAAGCACAATGAAAGAAATGGAAAAGTACGATGTGGTTGCTGAAGCATCTTCACACTTCAAATTCAGACTTCAATGTGGCCGTCACAGGATGATATACCTGCAAGATACAAGTGATGCAGAAAGAAAGCAGAAGGTCATGAGGTAGGCTATGAGACACCACAAACGGGTCACCTACATGTATGTTCAGGGCTAGTGCACTCACATGCAGAATTATCATATTCGAGCATTTCCCAAACTGAGAAGTGCAATGAAATCCACTTGCATGCAGAGGAGCAATTTTGCAGTGTGATGCGTAATTTGACACGATCTGCGATGCTGCGTGCGATGCAAACTCGCGCAAAATATCATTCACGGAATGACTGCAAGAGGTCAGTGATGCAACAACGCCCTGCTGACATGTGTCTCAAAGCTCAACAAGAACCTGCGTTTGTCACCATGGCACTCGCATAGCCGGTACAACTGGTACAAATGTGCAAGCAATTCATGAGTCTTTCGTCTCGCCTCCTCAGATAACCACTGCAAGGCTGCGACGACAACCTTCGGCCTGACAAGGTGCTTCCAGACAATCTTCGCAAGATTTTTAGACAAGGTACTTCCAGACAATCTTCGCACTGGTTGGTACACAGTTCACTATGATGTTTGTATTGTCAGCACACAAGTCATGCACGAGATGCGGGTTGTCGTCAATTGGCAATGGAAGGTGGAGTATTTTGTTCGTGGCACCTCACTCGCTTTGAATGCGGTCGACTGCCATGCTTTGTGTCTAGCTTGTAACATGTCTGGAAGGGTTCCACTTTTTGAATGAGTAATTTTTTGAATGAATTTAGTCGCGACAAGCACTGGGGTACAGGGTGAAGGTGCAAGTCATTGAGAACGCAAAATGGCGGCATGCTGTCTTTCTTCACGTACAGTTTGCAAACCCTGCAAATGAACATGGCGTCTGTAGCGTGCGACTGTACACCATGAACTATAGGCAAGATATACACACACACACACCTTAAACGTAACGAACTACAAGAATAGAGTGAGTACAATGCGCTGTCGACCTGATAACGTGTTGGAAGATAACAGGTATACCGTCCCACCGTAGGTCTACCCTTCATCATTCCTCATTCACCATCGCGCGATATCATGGCACACACTGGCAACATATCAAGGGATGCCTTACCGTCGCCTATAGGGGACGTCTTCGCAGCAATGTTTTTCGTCCTGCGCATACAGTCCGCCGACGCGACAGAGTTTACGGGCCCGTTCCAGTTGTAGAAGACATTCGATTCATCGGGCCAGTGCAGCAACAGGGCCGTGGGCACACAGGGGCAGAGGAAAGACATTGTGAGTGGACAAGAAATATGCAATGGCAAGTGCCATGAATGTCAAGTTCTCATTTCTAATTGAGCTATTACTTACAGTCCTGCCATTGCTCGCTCGTCCTGATTCCTCCTCGTTCGTCTGTGTCCACTTCTGCCGTTCTCCTCCCCGCGCCCGTCACAGCGTCAGGTCAGTGCATTCTCATTAATTTCTCAATGGCACTTTTCGGGACGGGGTACGATGCCTCCAAAGGCCTAGAGCGGACGTCTTTGCAGCAATATTTTTCGTCGGCGGACGGGACAGCGTTTACGGGGCCGTTCCAGTTGCAGAAGACATTCATCAATGGCACTTTGCGGTACGGGGGTACCGGAAGGAGTTCGCCCCATGTCTCCAAAGGCCTAGAACGGACGTCTCTGCAGCAATATTTTTCGTCCCGCGCATTCAGCCCGCCGACGCGACAGCGTTTACGGGGTCGTTCCACTTGCAAAAGACATTCATCGATCATCAATGGCACTTTGCGGTACGGGGGTGCCGGAAGGAGTTCCCACGATGTCTCAAAAGGCCTAGAGCGGACGTCTTTGCAGCAATTCTTTTTGCCCTGCGCATTCAGTCCGCCTACGCGACAGCGTTTCCGGGGCGTTCCAGGTGCAGAAGACATTCATCAATGGCACTTTGCGGTACGGGGTACGGAAAGGGGCCTCCTCGTTCCACTTCGTCGACTTCTGCAGTTCTCCATCCCGTCAGGGGTACCGAAAGGGGCCTCCTCGTTCGTCTTCGTCGACTTCTGCATTGCACATGGTGCTGTTAAGTGATGACGTCACAGTTCCTTCGATACGCATAACAACGATCCCACTGGGGACAAACAAAAGTAGCGTCGTCTCCACCGAACCAGTTGTCAGTGGCAACATATAGGAATCGTGTACATTTCTTCGTTTCTTCTTTGCTGTTTTCAGTGAGTGTTTTGTTTTCTCTTTGTCCTTGATCTCGACGATGTTGTCGTGCTCATTACCTTACTGAGACGTCTCTTGTGACTGTAGCCAGTGTCACGGAGGATTTTATTGGCGTGACAAGGTAGATCGCCGAGATCGAGCGTGAAAAACGCTCTGCATTAGTAGCTCCTGTAGAATGTTTTCTGGGTTGGCGTATCCATGGTCAACAAAACCAAGGTGCAAGACAGCATGAGAGATCGTGTAAACGATGTGAACTCCAAAAGGTAAGCTCCTGAACAAGTGGAAAGATATGGGTATTTACAAACTCTCTCTTCATCCATCGATTGCCGCTATGTATTGCATTTTGTCTTCACAGATAATCTGGCCAAATTTATTGTAACTAGAGAGTGCAATCGTGCTTGGGGCCCATCCCAATGTCATCACATGGCTGTGGTGACTAGTGTATATCTGGGAGAATTTTTCCTCGACTGATACGGAGTGCAGGTGGATCGATTATGAGAAATGCGAACATGTGAAGTAAGTAATTAGTTGTGTCGAAGAAATGTGCAATAAAATAAAAATTTACTTTACACTCAAACATACACTGTACATGTACATGTAACATCATGATAATGATTCCATCTTCATTGTCCCGCAACTGGTACACCATACGCACCGAATACATGGTGTGTGTGTGTGCGCGCGCGCAGGCGCGCGCATGTACATGCACACACTCTCATGCGTGGCCGAGTCGGCCAGATGAACAGACCATGCATCTGCACGAGGTGTCCGTAATGTCATTGGAACGCTGTACTTTATGACTTTATTCCAAAAGAGTATGTCTTGCCCCTGACGAATGGAGTTGTGTCTGTGCTCAGCGGGTATCGGGCTATGACGCAACACTGCAATCAGCGCTGCAATTAAAAGAGCACTGCATGGATTATTTTGACTAACTTCCTTCGCGTTTACTTGGTTGAGCCCGTGGTTTCATTTCTGTGTTCTGTCATGATTGGCCTCTGGAAATAATCAGAGTGGATGTCATTTTGCCATATATGTGTGCCTTGTGCGACAGGTTCAAGGCTAGATGCACTTCACATTCGGCGTGCGATCTCAGCGTCTGGGACCTGATGAAGTCTTGGTTGGATGATTATTCAAGCCTGATACTACTCGACACACCAATGTTCATGTCAATGTAATTTTTTCAGAGCTGCACTATTTACGTGTTGATGCTTACTTCGATGTTAGCGTGTTTCCCCCGGATTGTTTCTATCATCATGATCGTGTGTTCTTGGGCTGAGCGAGCACATGCACAAGTGTGCAGCTATAACCCTGTGTATCTTTGGTTACACTTTGTTCTGCAATGCATGTACCTTGTAACATTATGTGCTTGCACTGCTTTGTCTGGCCTGCGTATTTCAGGACTATTCAGTGCATTAGACCCAGGTTGGTTTGGTTGCCGGATGATCTCTTGTTGCGTCGCTCTGTATTTGTATTCATCAATTTTTGGGCTTGAGAACTGAGCTGTTGTGTGGTTCCCAATATGAAAACATCATGCTGGTGCTCTGTGTTTCGATTATCGACTGTCGGAGCAGTCATGCATTTATTAGCAAAACGGTCAATACTGTAGTCTTTTCACGTGTTTGTCTTTTTTGTGTTTTCGCCGGGGGTATTAGCGGTAACGTTGCACACAGAACGGCAGTGTTGCATCACTGGACGACCCTGCCTCTGCATCTGACTTAATTTCCGCAGGATCTGGTGCAGTTACACCAGACAGCAGCCACTTCCTGTAAACACGCAAACAGCAAAAGAAGAGATCCCGCAAATCAGGAAAAACCATTGCGGAAAATATAGAGTAGATCATACAACATTCAATAATCTGGAGTAATTACAGTGAGACAAACACTTCAAACAGTGCTCTCTCTCTCTCTGTCTCCATCCTTCCAAAAATACCCTATGACAATTCCCTAAAATTATTTTATTTTATATTCTTAGGACATCATTCTGAACATAATAAATTCTTCCATGGGTCTTCAATCACCACGGAGGGCGAAAATATATTATCTAAGTCATGCAGTTTACGGGAGGTGCGAGCTGTCATGGATATAGAGGCTGATATTGTGCCAGCGTGAGGGCAGAGACAGAAAGAAGACACTGATTTCTTGCTCACCTACATGTATAATCGAATCCACAAGGAGCGCTCATACTTTGATCCATCAGGACGCGAAACATCTTCAAAGCACTCTCAAACACGGAGTTTTACTGTGGGCAGCCAATTTCACAGCCATAATGAAGACACTCGACGACTACAGGAGTTTTGTAGAGGAAAGAACAAAGAGTAAAGAGCGACAACAATCGCTTGAAGAAAAAGCAAAGAAAAACTGCTGTCTCTCCAGTCATTTAGATGCTGTTGCCCTTGACATCTGGTTCCATCCAGAGGACGCGACTTTTGTTTGTCCCCAGTGCTCTCCGTTGCTATGCGTATCGAAGGAGCCGTGACGTCACACTTAACAGCCCCATTGGCACAAAGCAGACCGCTGACGGGGTCACGTGTCAACAAAGTAACAACAAAGTGTCGACAACGTGTCGACCACGTGTGTAGCGGTACACTCAGCGGTACACTAATTCTCGTGCCATTCTCGTGTCACAAAACTGGAACATCGAGTACCAGTATGGAAAGGCTTCAGACAGGAAGCCTTTCCAATCTTCCCAGTCATGTTGAAGGTGTGTCCTTATTTGCTGACGATACTGCACTGCTCCGGTTCAATGAGTGTCTAGACAGGCTGCGAGACAGGCTCCAGCGCGGTATCAACGAAGTCCATCAGTGGATGACTACCTGGAGACTAAGACCTAATATCGCCAAGACTGAGATATTATTCCTGCCGAACTCAGAGCCAACCTATGCATTCACTCTTCCCGGATCCCTCACAGACCTCACAGTGGTAAAACAACACAAGCATCTTGGTTTGGTCATTAACTCAGACTTATCGTTTAGTAGACATGTCGACTATATCTGTATCAAAGTCAGTAAAGCTGTTGGCTACCTCGTGTCTCACTGCTCCCACCTACCGCTTGAATGCATTCACCTTTATATCATTGCAATAATCTCCCCATTTTTCTCTATTGCTCAACCGCCTGGTCATCCCTACTGGCTGGCCTTGCCTCTATCAGTAAAATCGTCTTGTACGCTAAATGATTTCAAGGCCAACATGAAGCTCGTGTTCTAATAACTGCAAATTCTTCATCCAGATTTGTTTCTCTTTGCCTCCAGTAATGTGTAGTATTTATTTTCTTTGCTTTGTTTTTGTTTTGTATTTGTATTTATTATCATTATCTCATGGCACATCATGATGACGGCCAGTAAAACTGAGACAAGGGTGAAAGCCAACCACAGCAGTAAAACAGATAAAAGAATACAAATAAGAGGCAAAGAAGGCAAAGGAGGAGACAAACCAGCAGGATATACATGAAACCTATAATTGAGGAGAGATTTTAGCAACAAAATTATCCATCGACGTGCTGGTCTTGGCCTGCGTTGGTAATGTTGCCCAAAACACATAGCCAGCAAAGATCGGGGATCTAGTGAATAGGGTGGAGGCAGCGCGTGGGAGACTGAATGAGTTCCGGGTATTCCGTGTTTCGGAGAACCAATTATAAGCCTGCATATGCAAGGGTATTTTATTTAGTAATATTTTATGTATGATAACACAGAGGTGGTACTTATGTCGGGTGGACAGGGGACTGATCTTGGCAATTTCGTAAAGACTAGCGGAGGGAAAGCGACGATCTTTGCTAAATAAGATTTTAAGGAGCATGCGGTTATGGGTTTCTAGCTTGTTCAATACAGTAGTAGTTATGCCAGACCAAGCAGTATCACAGTAGTCAAGTAAGGGCAGTATATAGCAACGATAAAACAAGCGTTTGCAAGAAAGAGGAACTGCCATGGCTGGCTACCGCCCCCCCCCCCCCCTCCCTCCATATTGGCCTATATTCTCTGGCAACGGGAAGGTGAAATAAATAAATCGTCAATTTGTCATGTACAGATTGGTATCGGCTATAGCGTTGGTCTTTGATTGGCAACATTTGTTACTATACGCGATGTACTACTACAAGCGATAGACCACCGTACACATCATGCATGGTACCAAACAGATCGTGGCACGCAGTGCCCAGTATACTGCATGCAATAGTGTTAGCTAGCTGTGGTCCAGCACCATGATCACAGTGTGGAAACTCTCCCACAAACTTCCGGTCCCGGAAGTCTATCTTCGGTCAGCAACTAACTTTTTGAAGATCCAGGTAACAACGCCGAACCAACGAAACAAAATTTAATGTGAGCCAGCATGGAACGGTGGAGGTGCGCACACGCACACATTCCAGACCTTACCCGGTTACCGTCCACAATATTACAAAAAACATTCTTCATCGAAGCAAAAGTCCATGTCTTTGTCGAAGAGTAACGCTGGACTTTCACCGGACATTGACCATTGTGTAAGACCAGCTAACTAGCAGCCAACGCTGATGGCTGACTCGCCGCGATACCGTTCTTGGGATTGGGAGGAAGCAGGGCTTTCGGGAGGAAGCTGGGCTTTCTCCAGATGAGCTTTTGGCGGAGTCCTCTGATGATAGTGACGTCGTCGACTTGGAAACTGCAGATCCTGCCGCGATAGCGAGGAAGCGGTCTTTTCAGAAAACAGCTATTACCAAGTCTGAAAATGTTTCCAAAAGGACGCGAGTAGCTCATGGACAGAGCACTAAAGTGGCCATCAGTGCCGAAACACGGGTGCGGGAGTTCCCATAAGAGCCGCTCGTTAGCCGCTTAGAGCATTATATCCCATATTACCGAGCATTATCCGCCAACACCTACAGTACAGCCAAAATCAAAACTTTAATTAAACAAAACATACATAAACAGTTAAGTAGTAGAGCCCACACGGCACACGCTCTCTTCCATTAACACTGCAATAGTTCAACTCATTTCACAATAATTATTCCAACGTTTTGGCAAATTGCCTTCATCAGGTTCATAATGATGTACAACCTCCCAAACAAGCATTGTTAAAGGCCAACTCCCCTGTCAGTAAAACAAAAAAACACATTATTGAGCGCCTGATGTCATGCTAATCAGACAATAAGCGATTGGCGATACAAACTACAGCTATGATCACCCAGCGTTATAATGTTTATCTTTGGAGCCAAATTTCTGATCTCCACAGCCTCCCTCAATTTCCTGCTAGCTCTGTCGCCTTCTCGAGCGAGGACTGATACTGCTGTGAAGGCGCTATCTCACAGTCTCTATCTCCTGCAGCTGCGCTTCTCATGTGGTCACCATGTGTTTTTTGTTTTGTTTTTGTTTTTACCTCAGCTGTAGTCCCCTCCGCTGATAGTTGATGTTAGCACTATTAGCTGAACTCCTTTCGCGCTGCTTCTCACACCCTCTTACTAACAGGGGAGTTGGCCTTTATCAATGCTGGTTTGGGAACTTGCACATCATCGTGAACCTGATGAAGGCGATTTGCCGAAACGTTGGAATAATTATTGTGAAATGAGTTGAACTATTGCAGTGTTAATGGAAGAGAGCGTGTAGGCTCTACTTTTTAAACTGTTTATGAAACTGCAGGAAGCCTCCCCACTTTTACTTAATACATTACCGAGATTCAGAATTGTGATTTCCAGGCATCGGAACCAAAAGCACGGTTTGTCGCATTTATTCTAGAGTCAACATCCTCAGCTGACCCTACTTGTAGCAAAATGTATTCATTGGTTTGAGGGAAACGTCTGAATAAAAAAAATAACTGTCACCGCCAGGACTCGAACCAGGGACCCTCGCTTGTAGCCAGCGATGCTCTAACCACTGAGCTATGGTGTAGTCGTCATCCCAGCAGAGGCCGTTCAACATTTTCTTCAGACTTCGTACAGGTATGAGCGGTACATGTATACGAGGTGAATAGCAATTTCTGGACATGAAAATAAAATAGAGCACCACTGGCTGTGTGTTTTACATTTTTCATATCTTTTTGTATCTATTGCATGGCCTAATCCTTCATCTTTCCAAATATGTGACAATTGCTCATGCTGTGATCCCAGAGACTTTATAGCAGGATGTTTTCGACACGCCATTTTTTTGGCCTAAATTTCAGTGTATGGAATTCTGGACATGAAAGTAAAATAGCATCAATAGGCATCCTGTACTGCACCATTTTTGTTATTTTTTCTATTGGTGGACTGCAGTTGGCCTCTTCACACTTCCAGCCAACAGGTCCAAGACTATACAGCGTCTGAAGTGGAGTGCACATGGGGAAGCCAACGATTCGTCCATTACTTCTTATTTTACTCAAAATTCAAAATTATCATGCGACATAGTACCACAAAACTCGTTGAAATGCCTCACAAGAAAAGGCTATCAACAAGGCACCGACACGAGGAGAAACTACAACAGCCCAG